TCCTCAAAACTACCTCTGGGCACAGATTTTTTCATGAAATTTTTCTTCTCTGGAAGTTTATTATTTGGTATCCTGTTTTGTTGCACAGTTCCCACTGTGTGAATTCCTGATTTAGCTAAAAAAACTACCAATGGCAAAGAGGTATAAAAATTATCAAAGTATATGATATGGTTTTGCTTTCTTGGCACTCCTCGAAGCAAACGAACTACAACATTTCCTGTTGCACCAAGATCTGGTTCATCTGTGAGCTTCTCTGTATTCTCTTGTCCAGAATATACCTCAAACTTGTGGGCATATCCCATCAAATCACAGAGAACATATAATTTGAAGCCCCATTTATGGGGCTTCTTAGGCAGATATTGCTTTAAAAAATGCCCTATTTTGGTAGAACACATCTGTTCATCCACAGAAAGTATTTGATTCATTGGCACTGTGGCAAACCTCTCATTGAGATGCTTGATAACAGGGCGGATTTTATAAAGCCTGTCATGTTCTGGATGACCTATAGGTTTGTGAAGATCATTGTTATTAAAATGTAATGATAACTTTATTTTCTCAAACTTGTTCAGTGGCATTGTTGAAGAAATGGGCTCATATCCAAACTTTGGCGACCAGTATGATCTTGTGCTAGGAAATTTGATTACTGACATGTACAATAATATACCAAAGAACTTATACAAATCATATTCTGTAAATGTTATAGATGAACTGGGATTACTCTGTATTATATATAAATTTGTCTCCTCTACTAATGTTTTGATAAAATCTTCAGTGATAAAATGGTTAAAACATTGATATGGGGTTTCTAGGTGTGATAGACCACCTGAAGCAGTAGAACTCCCCAAGAAAGTAATTTTATCTGTGTCATACACCAGATTCCTTTTTTTCCAAATCAAGCTTCTTTTGTCAAATGGAAAACTGGATGAAGACTGCAAATTGGATGAAGTTGATGGGTGAGAGGGTTCTTGATCTTCTGTTTCTACAAGAGGAGGATCAATGTCAGCAGTTTCATCCACATCATCCACATCATCATCATCATCATCGTCGTTCTCCTCCTGCAACACTCTTATAACTTCATCAGAATCGCGGTTTTCATAATCGGAATCTTGGTCATCGAGGTCATCTTCTGAGAGCCAACCGCCTTGTAACTTACTAAGATA